ATATATATATATATATATATATATATATATATATATATATATATATATATATATATATATATATATATATATATATATATATATATATATATATATATATATATATATATATATATATATATATATATATATATATATATATATATATATATATATATATATATATATATATATATATATATATATATATATATATATATATATATATATATATATATATATATATATATATATATATATATATATATATATATATATATATATATATATATATATATATATATATATATATAAATGTTTGCTGTTGTAATAATCAAAAATAAGTGTCACCAACATATTGGATGACCTAAGAGTAAGTAAATTAACTACAGATTTTTACTTTTGGGAGGATTCATCCCTTTAAAGAGTTGACTGACTGAAAGTTTTGCCATCATTTACTCTTCTAAATTAGTATGATAGTTTAATGCCAATCTAAAGAACATGTTGGTAACCATTTTAGATGGAATTTCAATTAAACTTGTCCAAAGATGATTTGCACTCAGTTTTGCCACTCTTCTATAGCCATTTGCTAGCTCTTTACAAAAAGCAGATTACAAAACAATTAGTTGTAGCTTTACATTCATGAGAGAACCTTTTCACAAAATCAGTCTAAAAAGTCAAATTTTATAACTTTCCTAGATTTAAAAAGTAGAATTGTTCCGTATTTGAATCCATTCAGTTAATCTCCAGGTCTGGAGGGAGCACTTTTAGCTTAGCTTAGCATAAACAATTGAGTCGGATTAGACCATTAGCATCTTACTTAAGCAAAAAAAAAAAAAAAACTACAAAAAAAAAGAGAGTTTTGATAATTCTCTTATTTAAATCTCGACAATTCTGTAACTACATTTTGTACTAAGACAACCTAGTTACCTAGTAGGGAACTATTTCAGGCACTGTAATATCATTGCACCTATTGCTGACATGGTACAGCAGCAAAGTTTCTTGATTATTACGCAAGAAAGAGAGTGGCTTACCCATATCAGCCTAGAAAATAGCAACCTTTCATTTTTCATCATTCTTACCACACAATGTACCTACAGAAAAGTATAGTAAAGGTTTTTTTTTTTTTTTTTTTTTTGAGGGAGATGCTAATGGTCTAATCTGATTTAATGGTTTATGCTAAGCTAAAAGTGCTCCCGTCTGACCTGAAGATAGTCTGAATGCATTTAAAAATGGTCAAATTTATCTGATTAACTCTAGACTTGCAAAATGAGCTTATTTGCAAAAGGTGGAGTGTTCCTTTAAGACACTGGTGTCAAATCCAGTTGTTGAAAGGCCGTAGCTCTGCACAGTTTAGCTTTAGCCCTAATTAAACACACCCAATCATCCTAGCTGAGTCAGTTAGGCTTGGTTATACCTACAGGTAAGTGCGTTGAAGCAGGGTTGGAACTAAACTGTGCAGAGCTGTGGCCCTGCATGAAATGGATTTGACGCCCGTGCTTTAAACATAAATGATGAGCAAATGATGGCAATTTTCATTTAGTGAATAAATGCTTTGAATAATCATAAATGTTTCTGCTTGGAAACTACAGACAACGAAAGATAAATGTCAGCGCAACAATCACCAATGGGCAGGTGTTCTAACGTGATCCAAACAAAACAGGTCTGATATGAAGCGCTTGACCTGATTAAAAGAAGGGAAACGTCTTATTTACAAGTTGTGCAAATGGACTGTGCTTGGAACTCTGTCAAGCAGCTGTTATGTGCGATTTCACACTTACTTCTAAGCCTGAGAGAGAGTAAACATACTTTTAGGCTTGTCGTGTTGGTGTTTTCATACAGTGCTCACAGTGTCCTGCAGCCCACATGAAAATCAGCATAGAAATCTGTACTTCCACACACAGCTCCATATGCAAATCCAAAGAACATGGGATCAAATCACAATGAGCCGATTTCCTGAGTGGATTTTAAACCTTCAGTAAAAAAAGAAGGCAGTGTGATAAAAAATAAAGCTCCAATACATTACAGCCGGGCACAGATTGACTGCATGAAATGTCAGACAAAAAAAATGAGTGAACTAGATAAGTTGCCCCAAGTCCGTATTCACAATTCAAAAGGCAAAAATATGATTTGAATGAGCCCTGTTCCGTTTTAAAATAAAGTGTGTGTATATATTACATATAAACAAAATAAATACAAATAGAGCTTAAGTTTTGTTTAGTAGTTTAAGAGAGCTATTCAGTTTAGTAGTCCTAAGACTTTTTGGAATAGTAGCTTATCATTTAGGAGTAAAATAACATCTGTGATTAAAGTTAATTACAAAGACAAACCTCCATTTGAATCTGCTTTGTGTTTTTTTAAGGCGGAAATCAAAACCCATATTTGGCAACCATTTTACCAGTTTAGGATTTTTTTTATGCAAGTAAATTTAACCACAGACATTACTTTAATAATTAAAAGTATAGTCTATGGAGTCAAGCTACTGCCACATATACTTGCAAAATAAAAGTACATTTTAAACTGCAACTGCAATGCTCAATTTCATTTGCCTCTCAATCAAACGTGAGTTTGTGATGCTGTTTTCACTTTGCACTTCACATTTTTATACGTTTTACTTTGTGGCCCTGATTTGACAAAGGAGCAGATTCAAGGGAACTTGGGCGTTTACGGCAGGCCCAGATCTTCCTCCATTTAAGGCGACATCATCACCTGGAGACACTATATCACAGAGGTGTTGTCTTACAGCCCAGTAGGTCCGGACCTGCCATAAACGCCAAAGTTATATTTTAAATATGGTTTTTGAATATAGTTTTTTTTTTTTGCATATATATATATATATATATATATATATATATATATATATATATATATATATATATATATATATATATATATATATATATATATATATATATATATATATATATATATATATATATATATATATATATATATATATATATATATATATATATATATATATATATATATATATATATATATATATATATATATATATATATATATATATATATATATAGATATATATATATATATATATATATATATATATATATATATATATATATATATATATATATATATATATATATATATATATATATATATATATATATATATATATATATATATATATATATATATATATATATATATATATATATATATATATATAT